GGCTGTTGTGATAAGAAGAGTGCAAGGCTGTTGTGATAAGAAAGAAGAAGAGTGCAAGGGAAAGAGAAGAAGAGTGCAAGGGAAAGAGAGGAGTGCAAGGCTGTTGGGATAAGAAGAAGAAGAGTGCAAGGCTGTTGTGATAAGAAAGAGAAGAAGAGTGCAAGGGAAAGAAGAGTGCAAGACTGTTGTGATAAGAAGAGTGCAAGGCTGTTGTGATAAGAAAGACAAGAAGAGAGCAAGGGAAAGACAAGAAGAGTGCAAGGGAAAGAAGAGTGCAAGACTGTTGTGACAAGAAGAGTGCAAGGCTGTTGTGATAAGAAAGAAGAAGAGTGCAAGGGAAAGAGAGGAGTGCAAGGCTGTTGTGATAAGAAAGACAAGAAGAGTGCAAGGGAAAGAAGAGTGCAAGACTGTTGTGATAAGAAGAGTGCAAGGCTGTTGTGATAAGAAGAGTGCACGGCTGTTGTGATAAGAAAGACAAGAAGAGTGCAAGGGAAAGAAGAGTGCAAGGCTGTTGTGATAAGAAAGAGGAGTGCGAGGGAAAGAGAAGAAGAGCACAAGGCTGTTGTGATAAGGACAGTGCAAGGCTGTTGTGATAAGAAGAGAACAAGGCTGCTGTGATAAGGAGAGTGCACGGCTGCTGTGATAAGGAGTGTCCCCCCGAACCAGCCAAGCCCGGCCGGCATCAGAGCTGCAGCCGGCTGGGATGCCCCGGGAGCTGCCCCAGCCCCGCCGAACGCTCTCCCGGGGACGAGCCGCGGGATTCGCCGCTCCCCGCCGCTCGCACACCTGCGGGTCCCCGCGGCCCGGCGGGCGGGCAGCACTCGCAGCAGTTGAAGAAGAGCTCGGCCGAGTCCAGCGTGGAATTCTCCAGCGGGAAGAGCGTGGGGAGCTGCGCTCCGGGCGGCGCCGCCGGGAGCGGCGTTCTGCCCGGGCCGGAGGCGGGAGGATGCGCCGCTCCGGGCACCGCGGCGAGCAGCAGCAGCAGCGGGACGGGAGCCGGGCAGCTGGGCATGGCAGCGCTGCGGGACAGCACGGCCGATGAGGCACACCGGAGATGCTCGAGGATGGTTCGGCTTGAAGCATCCCAAATCCCACCCCGGTCCATCCCCGGGACACCTTCGCTGTCCCCGGTGCTCCAAACCCCGTCCAGCCCGGCCGCGGGCACTGCCAGGGATCCAGGGATGGTCACAGCTGCTCTGGGAATCCATCCCAGCCCCTTCCCACCTTCCCAGGCAGGAATTCCTTCCCAAAACCCCACCCAAGCCTGCCCTTCTTTTCCTCCAGACCATGCCCATTACTCCGTTCCTTTAGGGAAAAGTTTCTCTCCACTCTCTTGTAACCCCGCTTTGATTCTGGAAGGATGTGGAGAGAATTCCTTCATGATTTCGGCGTCCAACACAACTACACTCACTAAAACTTCTTCTCTAAAATCAATTATTCCAAACTCGTGTACTTTGGAATCAAAAGTATCAAATATGCCAACATTTTTATTTTTTTTCCTTTGTTTCTGCCTGATTTTCTGGGTTTTTTAGTGTAAATTTTCACATCTGTTCTATTTATCCCTAAAGTGTTGCTTATTATCCTATCACTTCATGTTTTTGGGGAAAAGTTTCTCTCCAGCTCTCTTGTAACCCCCCTTTGATCCTGGAAGGATGTGGGGAGAATTCCATCATGATTTCAGAATTCAACCCAACTACACACAGTTAAAGAATAAATGGAAACAAATGAAGCATCAATTATTCCAAACTCAGGTACATCGGAATCAAAAGTATCAAATATGCCAAAATTTTTATCTTGATTTTTTTTTTCCTTTGTTTCTGCCTGATTTTTGAGGAAACTTTCACATCAGAAAGGACAAAGGCAGAGGCCCCGATTTTTCCTTCAGGCCAGGTGGTGCCTCTCAGGTGACCCCTCACAAAAAGCACTTTTGTTCCTTTTTTAAAGCAGCTGGAAAGGCAGGAGGAACAGAGCCCCTTTCTGGCTGGAGCTGAAACCCAACCTCCCCCAAACAAACATCCAAATCTAAACAAAAAAAAACACCATCTCACACATTCAACCCCAACCCTAACAAAAAGAAAAGAAAATTCAGCAGCTGCCATTGGGGAGAAAGTCAATCCAGAAATAGAAATGATTTATCTAGAAATTATTTATCCCTTCTCCACGAGTGGGTTTAGCCAGAACGGGATTTTATGGGCAGATTTTGGTCCAAAATTGGGATTTTTTTTCTTCCCTTACCATGAAGATTTTCCTGGGAAGTTGGTGTGGAAAGAGATGCTCAGCACGGGTAGGCAGGGAGCAGCCAGAGCCTGCAGCTGCAGAGAAAAAGGAGGAAAAAGGAGAAAAAAAGGAGAAAAAGGAGGAAAAAAAGGAGGGGAAAACAGGAGGGGGGAAAAGGAAGAAAAAAAAAAGGAGGGAAAAAAAGAAGAATAAAAAAGAAGGGAAAAAAGGAGGGGAAAAAAAGGAGGGAAAAAGGGGGGGAAGGGAGGAAAAGAGGAGGAAAGAAAATGAGGAAAAAAATGAGGAAAGAAAATGAGGAAATTAAGGAGGAAAAAAGGAGGAAAAAAAGGAGGGGGAAAAGGAGGGAAAATGGAGGAAAAATGAGGAAAAAAAAAGAGGGAAAATAGGAGGGGAAAAGGAGGAAAAATAGGAGGACACAAAGGAGGAAAAAAAGGAGGAAAGAAAAGGAGGAAAAAAATGAGAAAAAGGAGAAAAATTATCATCTACTGCCTGGAAAAAGGGAAAAAAAAAACAATTTCTCCTTTTGAACAATATCCTCACACAGGAGCGACCTGTAACAGCTGGAGATAAGTAAATAAAGCCAATATTTACACACAAAACCCCCCAGAGATTTTAGGGATTTAAGAATTTTTTGGGGAAATTCTAAATCAGTTCCCAAATCCAAACCTTTCCTGTCACACATCACAAGCCCCAAACCCAGCCAGATGGATGGACTGCTGTCCAACACTGGAAAAACATCATTAATAACCAAATTATACCTCACCACCCTGCAAAAATTAAATTCTCAGAGCAAGGAATCACTAAACTGATTTTCATTTTAATGGGCAAGACTGTTCCTACAATCATTATTCTTAAATAATTATTTCAGGATTTTTTTTTACATGCCAGGGCATTGGAACAAAATGATCTTTAAGGTCTCTTCCAACCCAAACCAGTCTGTGATTCTAAATAAATGCATTTAAATAAAACTGAAATTTTGGATTTCTTCATCACATTAATTCACCACCACCGAATATAAAATCATTCTTTGGAATCCCCCCACTAAAATTATAATCCACAGTGAACACAAAATAGGAAAAATTAAACTTTGCTCCCATGCCATATCATTAATAAAATTAATCCACATTTAATTGGATGTAAATATCTACTAATTATTAACATATTTCTCATAATAAGATACAATAATACACTTGGCTTTTTGTGTATTGCTCCCTAAAATTCCAGATATTCCAGTTCACAACAGGAATTTAACCCCAATCCATCAGTTTTAAATATCAGGGATATGACTGCACTTTATCTTATTTAATTGTTTTTAGTTCTCAGATGTGTGAGGAAGAGGAAAACCTAATTCCCACGCAGTTATACATTGATTATAGACAGGAATTTTTCTGCAGACAAATCCTATTCCCTTAAATTCTGCACCTCTCTCCTACCTTACACACGCTCCCGCTCCCAGGAGGAGCCGCCCTCCATGGCACCTGGAAAAAGGGAATTTATTTGGGGAGAGAATTGGATTTATTTGGGGAGAAAATTGGTTTTATTTGGGGAGAGAATCGGTTTTATTTGGTCCCAGCTGCTGCTGTGGCCAATGAGAACCTGCAGGGGGGACAGGGGGGATTGGCAAAGTTCCCGCAAGGAGCAGGGGACACTGAAATTCCATAAATCCAACCCTTCCCTAAAATCCTGGCATTGGCAAAATCCCCTGCAAAGAGCACAGGGACACTGAAATTCCATAAATCCAACCCTTCCCTAAAATCCTGGGACTGACAAAATCCCTGCAAGGAGAAAAATGAAATCCCCAGAATTCCAACCCTGTCATTGGCAAAGTCCCTGCAAGGAAAAAGATGAAATCCCAGAAATCCAATCCTTCCCTAAAATCCTGGAATTGGCAGAGTCCCTGCAAGGAATGAGGTGAAATCCCAGAAATCCAACTCTGGGATTGGCAAAAATTCCCTGCAAGGAGCAGGGGGGACACTGAAATCCCAGGAAAATCCCAGAAATCCAACCCTTCCCTAAAATAATGGGACTGGCAAAATCGCCTGCAAGGAGAAAAATGAAATCCCAGAAATCCAGTCCTTCCCTAAAATCCTGGGATTGGTAAAATCCCCTGTAAGGAGTGAGGAGACACTGAAATCCCAGGAAAATCCCACAATTCCAACCCTTCCCTCAAGCCCTGGGATGCTGCTGGGGTCTTTTTTGGCTCTACCCCAAAGATTTTTTTGGGAATTTTTAGGGATGCTCCTCTTTCATCTCATTGGGAACCACAAGGCTCAGCAGGAATTTGTCCGGACAGTTTCGGGGAGAGTTTTGACATTTGAGGACCCAAAGGAGAAGGAATTTTTCCATTTATTTCTGCAAGGTCCATTTATTTCTGCAGTGCAATTTGTCCATTTATTTCTGCAAGGTCCAGGTTTCCCTCTGTAGTTAAAATGCAGATTTTTGGCAGCTGGGAGTGTGGAAAGGGGTAAAATTAAAATAAAAAAAGCTCTGTGGGATCATGAGAGCAACACATGTTAAATTCCCTTTACTAAGATCAAATTTCAATACTAATTTCCTTTTTTTTTTCCCCAAATTATCAAATAGTGAATTAAATGCTTGAGTGAAATCAAACCTGAAAACAAAAGAGAAAATAATCTTTGGGCAATGCCTTTATAGTTGTTCTGTTTTCAGCTTGAATTTGGGGGGAGAGGGGATTCATTTGTGCTGAGAACTTTAAATACTGCATGGGGTAAAAAATATTTCCTTTGCATAGAAAAAGAGCAACGGTTCATGCAGGATTTTAAATACTTGACTAGAGAAAATACATAGAAAAATAGAAAATACGTACTAGAAAAAAATATCCCGCTTCATAAGAATTTCCATTGAATTCGGAGGATTAAAATGATCTGGCTGTAAATTCAATCTCGCTAAATTTGGTGTTACTAAAATTCAGATATCAGGGAGAAGATGAGATGGGGAAAACCTGCATGGCTCTGTGCATCCCACAAGCCCTGCACCAAATATTGCTCCAAATCCCCTAAATCTGCACTTGCACCGAAATAGGGATTTATTGCCCTTTAAATTTCCTGGCTAGGAGATCCGAAAGCTCCCATTTCCCAAAAATAACCATGTGGGGAGTTATTTGAGAGCCTCGGAGAGTCCCGAAATGCAGATTTCGAGCAGCAGAGACCCGCGGTTATTTATGGGAGACAGCAGAATTACAGCTCAGGAATGATGCCGGCCTCAACTCCCACCCGGCGCTGGCTTTTAAAAAACCTTTTGGGATGTAAAAAATATTCCCGCGGGTGTTCTCCCAAACCCCGCTCCAGGATTTCCTTTGTTGGGAGGTCTGGGTTAAGAAAAGCATCCATTGTCCCCTCTGGAAACTCAAGCCAGCCAAAAGGGAAAAGGGATAAAATTCCCTTTTCACCGGGGTTTTCCTTTGTCAGGCAGCCCTGGGATGTCATGGACACCCTTCTTTTAATTTTATTTTTTTTTATTTTTCAAGGGGAAAGTTGTTTTCCTTGTGTGTTTAGGAAACAAAACCATCCTCAAGAGGGTTTGGTTTTTTTGGGTGGCCAGTGGCAGATTTCAGGGAAAACTGGAAAGAAACCGGGCTGGAATTCCAGGCTGGAGGTGAGAGCTGCTCATTCCTTTGGGGCAGGGCTGCTATTCCCTCACTGCAATCATCATTTAATGCTGGAAAATCCATCGGCATCCAGCTCCCCACGTTAATGATCAATTTATGAGACAAAATGAATTCATTGAGTGAAAAGGAGATTGAATTCCCGGGAGGAGGATCCTGCCTGTTCCTGTGGCACCGAGTCCCTTTGCAGGTGATTTCTGCCCAGCGGGTGCTGCAGCACTCCTTGGGAAGAAGGAAATGGA